CCCTTTACTCGTAAATACTTCAGATCGACTACAATTTTGTTTCTATGTCTAATGCTCCTCTAAAACTGCTTTTATTTTGTCTCTAATGACTTGTTATTGCTGGGTGCCATGGAGTCAGTTCCGACTCACAGAGACCTCATGTGACAGAACAGAACTAACTGCCCCATGGGGTTTTCTTGGCTGTAATTTTTACTGAAACAGATTACCAGGTTTTTCTCCCATGGAGCCACTGGGTGAGTTTGAACCGCCAACCTTTCGGTTAGCAGCTGAGCACTTAACCATTTGTGCCACCAGGCATCTTCACTAATGACTTACTAACTGCTAAATAACACTAAAACCCATTACCCACTGCCATCAAGTCTATTTCAACTCATAGCAACCCTATAGGACAGGGTAGAATTGCCCCATATTGTTTCCAAGAAGTGGCTGGTAGATTACAACTACTGGCCTTTTGGTTAGCAGCCATTGCTCTTAACCACTGCATCACCAGGGCTAAATCACTAGTACCTTTTCATCCTTAATCTGCTTAATCTCTCTGACCAGTTTTCTCTTTGAAATTCTCCATTTCCTTGGTTTCCCTGATACTTTCTTCCTGTATTTTTTCATACCTTTCCAGCTACTCCTTCTCATACTTTTCCATAGTAGTTCCTTCTCTCTATCCTTTGCTCACTTCTTTTCCTCAACAAACCCCACGTTCTTTCCTTTATTTTTTGTCCTTCAATCTCCAGTTCTGAGTGATCCTGTCTGTGTCTATGGCATTCAAAATCCATGCATGTTGATGTTACCAAATATATAAACTTTCCTGAGTTCTAGACTTATGTTCCTATCTGTTTAGTGAATCTATTTACCTGGATGATTGCTGTTGTTAGTTGCCCCTGAGTCAATTCTGACTCACAGCAACCCCATGTGTGTAGAGTAGGACTGCTTCACGGGGTTTCCAAGGCTGTGACCTTTCGTAAGCAGATTGTCAGGCCTGTCCTGAGGCTTCTCTGGGTGTGTTCAAACCACTAACCTTTTGGCTAGTAGTCAAGCACTTAGCAGTTTGTGCCACCTGGGGATTCTTCTCATGTGGCACTCCTCTCAACAAATCCAAACATAAATTGGCACCCCTCCCCTCAACCTGTTCCTTTTCCCTATATTCTCCGTTTTGGTAAATAGTATATGCCATCTAGTTATGTAAGTCTCAAACAGGGTATCCCCAGCTTCCTCCCTTTTCCTTATTCTCTACGTCTGTCACAAAAGCAAATTGATTCCACTGCCCAAATATTCGTGTAATCTCTCATCTCTTCTTTCTTGACATTGGTACTGCCTTGGTTCGTGGCCTCATCTTTTATCTCCTAGGCTACTACAAAAAAAACAAAAACCCACACCTGTTGTCACTGAGTCAATTCCAACTCATAGCAACCCTACAGGACAGAGTAGAACTGCCCCATAGGGTTTCCAAGGATTGGCTGGTGGATTTGAACTACCAACCTTTTGGTTAGCGGCCAAACACTTAACCACTACACCACCAGGGCTCCTGGCTACTACAATAGTCATCTAATTTCCCCCTCCCCTTTCCAAATTCACCTTCTATACTGCCACCAATCTTTTCTAAAATGCAAATTGGAGTATGCTACTCTCCTTGTTAAAGTCCTTTGGTGTCTCTTCTTTTCCTGTAGGATTAAAAAATGGCTTAAAGATTTACCATGATTTGGCTTCTTCCTATCCCTCTGTCCATCATCTCACAATTTCTACATATGCACTTCAGCCCTGTACATACCAAACTACCTGTTTTCTTGGGATGTGTGATATTTTTTCTTGACCATTTGCTTTTGAACATATTTCTTCTGCCTTGAGTGTAACTGAAGCCATTTGAAATTCCCTCCATTAGAGACTCATTTTAAAAGAGGTGCTAAAATAATCCGATGGCATTGTAGAATTTCAGAAATGTTCCCAAATAAAAGCTTTAGGTAGTATATGAATTTTTTTGTTTGTTTGCAGAAGAACCCATAATGACATAGGCAGACAAAACTATATCTCCATTAATAATAATAATAAAATCAATGAACTAATTACAATGGAATTATTATAGATTTGTATTGAGTAATATTAAAAACTGACTTACATGTCAACCAAATTGAAAATAAAAGAATTTCTAAGGCTCCTTAACTTTTTAAAAGTCTTTCAGCTATTGATAGAAAGTGATTCTTCAGGTCAATAATGTAAGTGTGGTCCCATTTTATAAATGAGAAATAGAAGGCAGGCAAGAGAATCATACCAAGTCACAAAGAATTAACTAACTGTGCCTTACAAAAAGAAAAACACAAAAAAACAAAAATCCACTCAAAAAACACCAGCAGTGCAAGTTTTTAGTTTGGGAAAAAAACTCCTACACTGCTTCTCCATATGTTCTCTCGGTCTTATACTGGGGGTGGGAAATACACACACAGATACAACATGTGAATATTAACAAAGACTCTCAAGGTAAAGACTGGCTTAGAGAATTATGGCAGGCTTTGGAGTTTATTAACTAAGAATTAATTATAAAAGAGTGCTTGTAATTTATATAATTAACATACATGCCCTTACATATACAATGGGGAAAGTACTGCTAAGCTATTATAGCAATGCACTTTTGATAATCAAAAATCTCTATGACCTTGTGTTTTTATTACTATCAGGAAGTAACCGTAACTTTGTAAAGAGTACTGCATTTGCAGTTATTGTTCAACCTCACTGACTTCTGCTGTGATTTCTGGCCAACCCTTTACAGTTTCCTGTAATATCTGGTTACCAGACTTTTATCAGACTTTTAAAACAGACGAGACATTTTAACATGGGAAAGGAAGGTGATTTCCTTAATATAAGTGTTTCCTTCTGATATTGCACTATTTGATGAAAACAAAATAATTAATGTTTCATCATATTCAATGTCTGCAATGTCAAAAATAATCTCCACAAGGATGACAGACTAAAAACAAATTTTAAAAGGTGTTTTTCATGGCTATTTTTTATTATGAAAAATGATACTCCTAAAATTTGAAATCGTCTTTGATTGCAACCTCAATGTCTCCTTACTCATCATTTTCTTTAACCCTGCCTTGCTAAATCCTTCAGGTATATCCTGCCAATGTCAGTCTTGAATCCTGGACATATTCAAACATCTACTTTTCTTTGTTCCTGGGCTGCTGTGTGTTGCTAACAAATCACCAACAGGCCACTGCACACCATAGTCCCTGAGTGGCACAAATGGTTAAGCACTCGACTACTAGTTGAAAGGGCGGCAGTTCAAACACACAGAAGCACCTCAGGAGACAGGCATGGCGACCTGCTTCTGAAAGGTCACAGCATTGAAAACTCTGTGGAGCAGTTCTACTCTGCACGTGTGGGGTCGCCATTAGAGAATCAACTCAACGGCAACTAACAAAAACCACTATGTATTTTTTGTTTCCAAACTGAACTTTTCTAGTAGGTTGTTCATCAATCTTTCTATTTTCCCTGATCTCCTGTGGTGTTATTAGTTCATACCTCAGTTCAGCTTTCAGGCACTGTAAAATTGGACTTTTCTGGCATATTTGAAACTAGGCCAGGCTATAAGACTTGTCATGGCCAGTAAGATATGAGTGGAAGTGCATGTGTCACTTCTGGGATGAAGTTTTAAGAGCTTACATGTGATTCTCCATGTCGTGCACCCCTGTAATTAGAGAGGCATTTGTGGAGATGGAGTTCCATTAGCGTGGAACTCTGTGTGATTACTAGGAAGAGATTCCACGTTGACCTTCACTGGACATGTAGTGTGAGCAAGAAACAAACTTGTGCTAAGACAATGACAATTTTCAAGCTGTTAGCACCATATAGCCTACAGCCTAGACTATCCTGATTGATACACTTCCTCCTTTTCCCATTCCCTGAAGTAGCTATTCCCATCCTAAAACAGCCTTCAAGCACGAACTCTCCCAACTTCCCTCCTCATTACTCATAAACTTATGATTAAGTACCAGGACCGTTCTTATGTTTTTATTTTTATCTTAGAGAAAAAAATGCCCATTCTCTTTTTATGCCCACCTTATATTTCTATCATTAAAAAAAAAAAAAAGGGAGAAGGGAGTAAAGTCAGAAAGACCAATAGACTATAGATCAAAGTTCCTCAACTATGAGATAATGACCTTCTTCACAAATATAAAAATGTGCTTTCTCTTAATTAAATAAAGTAAAATGTTAACAAGCCGCCACAGAGAGAGAGATACCCATGCCTACCCTTGAGTCCCAAATGACTGTTGTAAAGGGTAGTATCAAAAGCAACGTTTCTACCCTAGAGTAAAAACTTAAAATGCAAGCTATTGAAAAAAAAGTGATTCAATGATTTACTTCATTACCTAAATAGGAAAAATCCAAGTAAAATAATATAAGCAATCTAATACTATTAATGTTGTAACATCAAAGATATGTCCAAAAAGCATGTCCTAAAAGGCTGCAAACTTCAAAAGCAATATTTAGCTAACCAAATAAAGAGATACAAAACTAATATTAACTTTGTGAAACTGGTATGGAAAATACAGCATGTATAGACAATATATACATATCAAAACCAAAACAAAACCAAACCCATTGCCGTCAAGTCGATTCCCACTCAGCCCTGCTGGCACATTGGTTAAGCACTCAGCTGCTATCCGAAAGGTCATCGGTTCAAACCCATGCCTGCTCCATGGGAGAAAGATGTGGCAATCCACTTCTGTAAAGATTACAGCCTTGGAAACCTTATAGGTCAGTTCTACTCTATTCTACAGGGTCGCTGTAAGTATGAACACATATTTAAAGAGATGCTAATTTTTGTCTATGTACACTTTTTAAAAATATGATAAATAATAAGCTAATAAAAGAAATTATTTAATATTCTAGAGCTATTTTAAAATAATTTTTTAGATATAGATTTTTTTCTGAGCTATATCATAACAGAAAACAATGTATTACTGCAACTTATTCTTTAGTACTACATTATATTTAAAAGAAATTCCTACCTTCCAAGGGGTTTTTGCTGTGATGAGAGACACAGTCCACATGTTCTATATTTAGGTTGTCAGACTTAATCTGGTCACTAGAAAATCAAACAAAACACACATTAAACACATCAACTATCAGTGATTATTATCGTAGTTTATTCCAAGAAAAAGAAAGGACCTAACATTTGTAAACAATGATTATATGTCATGTGCTGTCTTAGGGGTTTAATGTCCATTATTTAATTTACATCTCACAATAACACATAAAAGCAGATATTATCCTCATTTCACAATAGCAGATTAAGGCTGTGAAGAGTGAATCCATTTATCCAGTATTTAAAATCCAAGTCTATCTGGTTACAAAGCCCCAATCTTTCTATGACCCTAGATGTGTTATGAAATTACCCAGCCACATAAAAAATGTTTCTCTAAATATTTATTGCAACAATCATTTCACAAAAATATGAACAGTTGATTTTTGCTAATCCAGCTTTTTAATAACGAATGTTGTTTAAGAAGGATTAAAAGTAGAAATAGTGGCTAGATTGACCTAAGAAATCAGCCACTGAAACTGTAGGCATGTTTCTGAAGTTACATAAAGAAGTGCAAATGTAATGCCAACAGTAATATGATAAATGTGTTAGGAATTTATTAAGAATTAATTAAACACAATTATTTGGCTGTAATCTTTTACATTTGCTATAAGGAAAGTATCTCTTCCATGGAACTGAGTTGAGACAGTAGAAAATACCTCCAGTTCTGAGTTACAGATGTTAGAGATGGGATAATGAGTATTAAACAAGCTGGAAGAACTAAAAATTATAAGCTTAATGACTGGAAATGTAATCACTTTACATCTATACTTTAAAATCTGTAGTATATATCAAAAGTTGACAGCGATGGCAACAATGGTAATTTATTCTTGTACTCTGCAATTTCCTAAAAATAAACAGCAGTTACTTGTGGAATCATGAAATATTAAAAATAGAAACTTCATATAGCAAATGACCTACAACATCCCAGGTTTCTTCACTCTGAGTTCACTCTCTTTCCATTACACTTAACTGACCCCAAACTTTTGAAAATTACTTCAAATAATTAGCAAAGTGTTGGTGTATATACAGATACAAGAGAGTGCGGTGAGGGAAAGTCATTCATACAATTTGTACATTACCTGAAGGGTACTGCTTCTTTAATACCATTGGTATCCATTACTGTACCATTTCCATCAATAACAGGGGAATCCAAATTAGCAGATCCATTACTGATGTGATCACTGCTTTCATATCCAGACTCAGTCCTTTGCATCTGCCAGCTGTCACCATGAACTTTAGTCTCTCTGAGACCTTTGTTTTTCTCTGTTCCTTTCTCATTAGATTCAAGGGAACTCCTGCTTCCTGTTTCCTGCTTTACTTCATCTTCATATATGGTCATTAAACCTTTTTGCTTTGGATTCTCTTTTGGCCAGTTGTTAAAACTCTGACCTTTGCTACATTTAGGTTTGTTGCTGATATTTGATTTATGTCTTGGACTATGCTGCCTTTTTTCACTTTCACTGAAAATGCTATCAACATTCAATGTTTCTCTCATAGGTTTCCAACCTCGGTTCCGGCTTTTGCTGGTGCTATTACAGCTGTTTCCTTTATCCCTAGAATCTTGGCTGCTGTCTGTATCATATCCAGTGCTACCGTCACTCTTAACTTTACCAGTTATTTTCTCTCCCGGAGGAATAATCTGGGATTTACTTGAACTTAGCAGTTGTGCAGAAGCTCGACTCTGATGGGCAATTCGGTCATGCTTACATGGTCCTTTTCCTTGGCTGTGATATAGATGTGGCTTTCCATATTGTCTAAAGCCATTTAGGGCAGGAGGTGATCCAGACTTGAAATGAGAAAGGTCTTCATTGGCCAAATCTTTAAAATTAATTAATTAATTAATTAAAGATACAAATGAGCTTTACCCCAGAGCCACTTTCTAAATCATAAGCCAAATACCTTGTTTGAGAAGAAATGTTAAACAGTAATAGGTAAACAATAATTGTAAGTATTTAAACTATATTGCATAGAGCTTTGAGTTTCAAAAGTGCTTCATCAGTCCCTATTTATGAGTAATGGGAGGCATTTATAAAAGAAATAGTTAAATATCCATTTTAAAAAATTATCTATAATGTAGTTTATAAGATAATCAAACCAGTTTATTATTTTCTTTAAAAGGTAAGTATTCTACCTCGTTCGTAATGAAAATGGAAATTATAAAAGGAAATTTTTTCCACCTCTTATATTGGTAAAGATTTAAAAGTTTGTTAAACCAATCACTGTTGAAAATGTAAAGAGACATTCAGTCACTGTTGGTGGGAGTGCAAACTGGTCCAGTCTGTCAGCAGAGCAACTGAGCCGTATCAATCAAAATTAAAAATCAACATACCCTGACCCAGCAATTCCTCTGAAAAAATTTTATGCTATGGGTAGACTCAAAAGGTGTAAAGGGTATATGTAATAGGATGTCACTGCAGCAAAGATCTTAAATCGATCTTTAAAGTCTATCATATCATTTAAATTACTGTGTGTCCATAAAGAAATGAGCATAAAAACAAAATGCTCATAATGATCTAGAAACTAGTAACAGTGGAACAGAGGGAGGGCCAGGGACTGGCAGGGAAGAAGCCTTTTTCATTTACTTTTATGACTTTCCTTATTATTTTAATGTGCCATATGGGTGAATTATATTTGTAATTAAAAGTAAAGTTAAAAACAGAGAAACATAAACGCAAATAGCCGTGGCTAGAATTACACTAAGGCCAGGGAAATTCTGAATTTTTAAATTTAGTATGGATGAATTAAAGATATCAATTATACAGATATTGTAAATTCAGTTTTAAAATAAGATTTCTGACACACCTTTTTAAACAAAAGGAGCCCCGGTGGTGCAGTGGTTAAGCACCTGGCTGCTAACTGAAAGGTTGGCAGTTCAAACCCACCAGCCACACGTGGGTGGAAGAGGTGATAGTCTGCTTCCATAAAGATTTATAGCCTCAGGAACCCTGTGGGGCAGTTCTGCTCTGTCCTATAGGGTCACTATGAGTCAGAATTGATTCGACGGCAATGGGTTTTTTCAAATGAATGTTGAAACCTCTTAACTTACCTCTATGTCGGCCCAAATCTTTTCTTTGTCCCCTCTCCAAATCTTTCCTTTGTGAGGGAAGTAAATTCTTCTGTTCAATGGCTTTCACAGCACATTCTCTGGAAATGTCTTTTATCTTTTCTCTTTGATCACTGTGACTTAATTTAACTGTAAGAGAAATCATTTTTACAATGATACAGATCATTTTTCAAACTGCTTAATAAAAGTATGAATTCAAACATGTAAAAATTTTAAGACTTTATATATTAGAAATAAAACAAAAGTGCAATGAAGTTATTTTTATGTTTAACAAAAAACTCAAATGTGATTTACCTAACCTGGAGATACGTGTTGTCTTTTAAAACTTCATGTACAGCCCCTTAAAGCAAGGGTGAAGGAAAAAAGGAGACTTGCCATGAAAGTACTAATAAGAGCTAAAGGTAAGTTGAGCGATCACTATGTGTCAGGCACTAATCTAAGTGTCTTAAGTCATTTAATCCTCTGAGATAGGTACAATTACTATCACCACTTCAGGTGAGGAAACTGAGGCATAAAGAAGTTAAAAACTTGCACAAGTTCACAAAGCTTGTAAGTGGTGGAACCAAAACTATGAATCCAATGTTTGTGTTCTTAAATACATACACTGTGTCTGGGATTAAAAGTAGGTGTCTTTAAAAAAAAAAAAAAAAAGAAGGTGCCTTTTGAAAAAATGTTTATCTAAGGCAAACAATAATTTGTGACAGAAAAAAGCTATAGTGACAGAAAAAAGCTATAGTTTCACTAAGAGTTTTAAAAGCATTTATTGTAGTTCTCTGTTGATAATTAGTAATTCTGGATCTTACCATCCTTGACTAAATGAATTATATTTATGATTCATTCATTAATTAACATATATAAGAGCTAATACAGTTAAAAATCATTTACAAAATCATCTTGAATATCCACACAATTAGTCTTATGAATTTCTAAACCTTAACTACACGTAGTACCATAATGTCTCATTTTGGATCCATGTCACAGGATTTGGCTTGTGAAAATTAATGTCATGGGATGTCAAGAGTGAGCTGAATAAAAATGAGGCTATAATAGCTTTGAACTACTGTTGCATTCACTAACTATAAATTTAATATTTTCATATAAACCAAATTATTAACTCATGTTTTTCTTCTCCAAGTAGATTATTAACTCCTTGAAGGAAAACTCACATTATAGTTTTCTTTGGTAACTGTCCAGATTGCCTTGGGCCTACAACAGTTCTGAGTACATGGAGAAACTAAAATACTGGTTGAATCAAAATGTTCGGATGAAACTACAGCTCTCAGAGAAATGCAAAAATCAAAAGGCAAAATTTTATGGTATCTACTTGTTATTTGCTCCTCATGGCCAAGGAAAGCTAGTTAACACCCTCTTTTTGTATTGTCCTCATCAGGAATTATAGATTCATTTAGTGAAGAAAGGGGGATGCTTAACTGCTCAGAAACAATGTAAAAATGACAATTAAAACACAAATACCTGGTCCTCTACCTCCACTTGTTTGAACGTGGCTCCGATTAAATGATGAAATATCATCTGTTTGAAATTTCTGATTTTCTCTTTGCTTTACCTGATCACCAAATCCATTTTCTTTTGAATTATCTGACTTATAAATCGAGGGCTTTTCACATCCTGGAAAAGACAAACAAATATTATCATCCCCTTTCTTCTCCCCACCAGAAGAGATGTTTGAATCATCTTTTCACACATTTCTAGTAAGCAAAATTACTTAAAAACTTACAGGACTGACATCTCAAGGATTTCCACATGCTTTATAATGTATTCATTTGTCCTAGCTACTTTGTACTTTTCAGCTTACTAACTCACTTTAAGTATCAACATTTACAGTTAAAAACAGTTCCAGCCAAGCAGATCCCTTCTGTACCTTCTGAGGCCATAACAATGCATGGCTCCTGGAGGTGCTTCTGAGGCCACTGATGAGGGAAGGCTCCTTTCTAAAGAGTAACCCAAAGGACTAGAATTTTCCTGAACTCTACTGAAACTAGATTTTGAAATTATCTTTGACATTTTATACTCATTATTTTAGCATTCTTAGTGTGATTATGATAATAGAAAAATACAAAAAAAAAAAAAAAAGAAAAGAAAAAAAAAGAGAATTACCCATATTTTCTTCAACAGATTTATAATGTGTCCAGTGGATGACCTGCTTGAGTGCATCTTCAGTAGAAACTGCTGTGCCATCTGGGTTTGCATAAAACAAAAGCAGTGGCTGGAAGTGGCATCGAGTGCACTTGGAGACCACGTCTTTCCATCTACTTCCAACCTAAAAGATTGGAAAATTTCAAAACCGTATGAATAAACAAAGCAAAGCCTTGTATTCAATGTGTTATATGAAAAGGTAAAAATTCGAAATAAATTTGTATATTAAACAATTTTAAAAACACTATGATGCTAGCAGTTCAACTCTCCATCATATGATACATTTTATTTTAATAACTAGTCTACATAAATACCTTTTAAAAGCGTATCATTAAAATATTGATGGAAAAAAATTATAGACTTTCTATAACAACAGTTAGGTCACTGGGTGGTGCAAATGGTTTGTAACTCAGCTACTAACAGAAAGGCTGGCAGTTCAAATCCACACAGCAGTGCCGAAGAAGAAGGGCCTGACAATCTACTTTTGTAAGATTACAGCCATTGAAAACCCTACAGACTGCAGTTCTACTCTAATACACATGGGGCTGCCATCAGTTGGAATTGATTCGATGGCAACAGGCAGTAGTATTGCATGATAGTTAGGTTATCAAATTTAAAGAAAGTTTTTACATGTATGGTTAACTTTTGACAAAAATTTCAAGATAGTTCAATAGAAAAGATAGTCAATTCATTAAATGATGCTAGAACAACTGGAAATTCATATTTAAAAAACAAAAAAGAACTCTGACCCCATTACACACAAAATAAAAAAGTCAACTCAGAATAGATGATGCAAAAACTATAGAGTCTATAAAAGAAAATCTTCACAACCTTAGGGAAGGCAAAGATTTCTTAGGTAGGACAACCAAAAGACTGGTTGTGTTTAGACTGGTACAACCAAAACACAAACCATAAAAGAAAAAAATTATTAAAACAGACTTCATCAAAATTAATAACTCTTGCTCTTCACATACACCATTAAGAAAATAAAAAACAAAAAAACAAGCCACATATATCTAATAAAGGTCTGGTATGCAGAAAAATAATTCCCACAACTCAATGAGAAGATAACCAATTTTAAAAATTGGACAAAACATTTGAAATTTTACCAAAGAAAATAAAAGAATGATCAGTAAGCACAGGAATAAATGCTCAACACATTATTAATCACAAGAGAAATGCAAATTAAAACCACAGTGAGATTATCATTATACCTCCACTAACTCATTGCTGTTCAGTCGATTCTGACTCATAGCAACCCTACAGGACAGAGTAGAACTGCCCCATAGGGTCTCCAAGGAGTGCCTGGTGGATTTGAACTGCCAACCTTCTGGTTAGCAGCCGAACTCCTAACCACTATGCCACCAGGGTTTCCATACATACACTAGAAAGGCTAAAATTAAAAAGACTACCAATATTGTTGGTGAGAATGTGGAACAACTGGGACTCTTCATACATTGCTGGCTGGAATATAAATTGGTACAACTACCTTGGAAATTAGTTAAGCAGTTTTTTTGTAAAGTTTAACATACACTTACCATACAACACAGAAATTTCTCTCCTAGATATCTGTCTAAGAGCAATGAAAAAAATATGTTCACATAAAGACTTGTACATGAAAGCTCATATTTCAACAGGTGAATGAATAAATTAGTTGTTATACAGCCATAAAATGGTACAAAGTAATAAAAATGAAGTTCTGATACTTGCAACATGAATAAATCTTAAAAACGTGTTGATCAAAGGAAGCTAGACACAGATGAATACATACTGTCAGAGACCATAAAATTCTAGAATGGGCAAAACTTATAGGGACGAAAGGAAATCAGTGATTTCCTGGGGTCCGAGACTGACAGCAAATCAGCATGACAGAATTTTCTGGGGTTATGGAAATGTCCTGTATCATGACTATAGTGGTTACACAGGTGCATACATATGTCAAAACACAAACTCTACACTTAAAATGCATGCATTTTAATGTTTGTAAGTTATACCTCTATAAAGCTGATTTAAAACAAAGCAAAACAAAACAAACAGACAAAAAACAAAGCATTCTAGAATACTGGTTTTTCCAGAGAAGGAAGGGGCCTAAAAAAAAAAAAAAAAAAAAAAATCCTGAGAAGCTTTTTCAAACTACACATACTCAGTGGTTTACCATCCTCAACCAGGATTCTGAGATACTTGGAGAATCACAGTAATTTGAAAACAAAAACAAAAAATCTCAAAGGGCGGTTAACAAACCCAGTTCTTCCTCTAAACTGTGGCAATTTGAACTAGTGGATACAGAGTAGGAGCTCCAAAATGTTGCTATCCACTGATTTAAGACAGAACTTCTTAATATGCTTCTATCTCAGAGTACTAAGCAATTCTAGCAAAGTGCTGATTTTAGAATATAAATACGAACATTTTTCATTAGTTTTACTAAAGTATAATTTACATGAAATACAATTATTCAATTATAGTATACAACTCAGTGAGTTTTGACAAATGCATACAATCATGTAACCCTTGCCCTATAAACTTCGTAGTCCCTGGAAACTACTTATCTATATTCTGTCACTTTGGTTTCTTCAAGACTTATATATAAATGTAGTCTTTCACATCTTGCTTCTTTCACTTTTATTTTTGATTTGTCCACATTACTGCATATATACAGTCCATTCCTTTTTATTGCTAAGTATTATATTCCATTGCATAGCTTTACCACAATTTGTTTTTCCATTCACCTGTTGATGGACATTTGTTTCTAGTTTGTGACTACTATGAAGAGAGCTATTGTGAACATTCAAGTACTGTTTTGTGTGGCTACGTTTTCACAGGAACTAAATTGCTGGGTTGTATGTTAAGTATATGTTTAACTTTATACGACACTGTCAGACTGTTTTCTAAAGAGACTGTTTGGTTCCATTTAGCATTTCCATCAGTGTTAAGAGATCTAGCCGCTCCATATCCTCACCAACTCTGGTATGGTCAGCCTTTAATTTTAGCCATTCTAGTAGGTGTGTAATGGAATCTCATTGTGATTTTAATTTGTATTTGCCCCGTGACTAACGATGTGTTCAGTATCATTATATGTGTTTATTAGCCATTCATATACCTTCTTTGGTTAACTGTGTGTTTCAAATCTTTTGCCCATATTTTTACTGGGTTGGCTTTTTATTACTGAGTTGGAGTGTTCTTTATATATTCTGGATACAAGCCTAGATATATGTTTGGAAAATATTTTCTCCCAGTCTATGGCTGACCTTTTCATTTTCTTAACGGTATTTTTTTGAAGAGCAAAAGCTGTAAATTTTTATAAAGCCCAATTTAGCAACTATTTTTACGGTTTATGCTTATTTGAGTGCTATCTAAGAAATCTCTGCCTAACTCAAGGTCACAAAGATTTTCTTCTGTTTTCTTTTAGAAGTTTTAGAGCAATAGTTCTTACATTTAGCTCTATGATCCATTTTTGAGTTAATTTTTGTTCATGGTTGAAGTAAGGATCAAAGCTTATTTTTTTTAACATTCAGATATCAATTTTTTCCAGCAACTTTTATTGAAAAAACTATTCTTATTGAATTACCTTGGCACTTTTGTAAAAAAATCACTACGTGATCCATCTCCGGACTCTATTTTTATACCCCCTCCCCCTAATCCCACAGTCCTGATTATTGTAGCTTTATAGTCATATTGAAATTTTCCAAACTGTTCTTCTTCAAGATGGTTTTGCCTATTCTAGATCCTTTGCATTTACATATAAAATTTAGAATCAGTTTGTCCATTTCTACAAAATGGACTGTTGAGATTTTCACTATGTTTGCACTGAATCTATAGATCAATTTGAAGAAAACTGTATCTTAACACAATTGAGTCTTCCAATGCGAACATGGTATACAGCTTCATTTATTTAAGTCTTTAATATCTCTCAGCAACATTTTGTAGTTTTCCGTGTACAGGTCTTACACAAACACTGTTAAATATACTCCTAAATATTCCATGTCATTTTAATGCTATCATTAACTTTTTTTTAAAATTTCAATATCTAACTGTTCTTAGATAGAATGCCGAAGTAAAATTGATTTATGCGTATTGATCTTGTTTCCTCTGACTCTGTTATTCTCACTTATTAGTTCTAGCAGAGTCCCTGCAAATGGTTAATGTTCTTGGCTGCTAATCAAAAGGTTGGTGGTTCAAATCCACCCAGAGGAGCCTTGGAAGAAAGGCCTGGAGATCTACTTCCAAAAAATCAGCCATTGAAAATGCTATGGAACAGTTCTACTTTGACACACATGGGGTCACCATGAGTTGGGACTGACTCAATGGCAACTGATTCGGTTTTGGTTTTATTAGTTCTAGCAGCCTTTTGGGGGTGAATTTCTTAGTATTTTCTACAGTGGTATTGTCTGTATTGTTTGCTCATTTTCTATTTAATTGAATTCCATTTACTTTTATTATCTTCTTTCTGACTTAAAAATGCAAAATTTTTCTTTGACTGCTATGAGCAAACGAGGCATGATTAAATTTCATTTTAACATATAAAAAAGAGCTATTCATTAGTACTACAACTTATTAAGTGAGTCCAATAAAGGTTATAAAAATTTTCTGGTTTCTTGAGGCAGACACTTAGATAGCTGACTTTAGACCTTTCATCTTTTTTAATCTACACATTTAAATCCTATAAATTTCCTTCTAAGCACTTCTTTAGCGGCATCCCACAATATGTTTGGTTTTCATTTTTATTCAGTTCAATACATTTTCTAATTTGTCTTTGTATGTCTTTTTTGACCCATGGGTTATTTACAAGTTTAATTTCCTAATATTTTTATGATGATGACCTTTAGTGTGGTTTTCTTTATGTTTATTCTGCTTGGAGTTCATTGAGCTTATTTGATCTGTGGTTTTAGTTTTTATGAAATTTAAAAAGTTGGGGCAACTAGTTTTTCAAACGTTTTGTCCTTCTTCACTTTGGGACTCCAATTACATGTGTGCCCTAGTGCTTGATATTATCCCACAGGTCACTGATCCTCTTTCATTTTAAGTATATTTTTCCCCTGTGTGCTTCATTTTGGATAGTTTCTATTACTATGCCTTCAAGTTCACCGACCTCTACTTTTGAAGTGTCTCATCTGCTGTTAATATTAGTCAGGATATTATTCATTTCAGATACTTTTTTTTCATATCTAGAAACTTTCATTTTTTTACTTAAGCCTTTTTTATATTTTTCATTTTTCTCCTTATTACATTCATGTTTTCCTTTACATTCTTAAGCATATGGTGTGTGTGTGTGTGTGTGTGTGTGTGTGTAAATATATACATATATATCAGATATGTATGTTAAAACTGCTTTTATATATATGACATATATATATAATAGCAATTTTGACATTTTTATCTGGTATTTCCACCTCTGTTACTTCTAATTAATAATTAATTAATTATTCTTTCAGTTATGGCTCATATTTTCCTACTGGTGATTTTTTTGCTTAATGCCATTTTGACATACTGAAATTCTGACTTTGACATTGTTCAGTGTTGAATTCTGTTGTGTTCCTTTAAAAAGTGTTGAACTTTGCTCTGACATGTAGTTAAGTCATGTGGGATCAGTTTGATCATTCCGAGGCTTGGTTTTAAGCTTTGTTATGGCAACCTTTGATCAAAGGATAATTTAATTGCATTATGAAGGTAAAGAGCATTTCAAGATCTATCCTGAAGTACAACACTGTCAGTGATAGGATAATATCTATATACCTGCAAGGGAAGACTAGTTAATATGACTATTATTCAAATTTATACACCAACCACTAATGCCAAAGATAAAGAAACTTAAGAATTTTACCAACGTCTACAGTCTGAAATTGAGCAAACATGCAATCAACATGCATTGACAATGACTGGTAACTGGAATGTGAAAGTTGGAAACAAAGAAGGATCAGTAGTTGTTTCCCAGTGAGTCTTTCCCCTGCCTTATGCATGCTTACCCCACACATGCACAGATTACTATTTAGCCAAATATTCACGGGGACCCTTCTGCCAAACTCCAGAATTCTCCCTATGTATAGCTTCCTTTCTTGAATCTTTCTTGCGAACTGCTCCCAAGACTTAACTTGCAGACCCTGATCATCATCAATTTTTTAAATAAGGTAATATTTACATGTTTTGATCAACTGTAGATTCCAGCTGAATTTTGCATGACAGGGTATATATTTGTTTGCAATGTATCGAAAATATTAACTTAGTGATAAAATAGCATCTAAAAAAAGTTTTTGTTATTGTTTAAAAAATAAATTATTGTTATAATAACTTTGATTTTGTTTTGTTTTCCTTGCAGTCTTCAATTCATAGATTTGTTGTACAATAGATTAGAAGCAGATGAATGAAAGGAAACATAAATGAACATGATGAAAAGGGCAACTAAAACTCAAGGAGAATACAGAAAAACTGTACCTACTAGGAATGTACAAGCAACTGATTGAAAATTCAAGCTAATGCCATATATTTTGGTGTCTTCTGTAGGATCAACACCTTAAAGCATATCATTTTATTTGGTGTTCAAACTGATGGTCTAGTTTCATCAGAAGGCAATTCAGTAGAATGACCTCATATTTTAAAAAACACCGTATGTCATCAAGTTGACCCTGACTCATGGCAACCCCTTTGTGTGTCAGAGCAGAACTGTATGCCATAGGATTTTCAATGGCTGATTTTTCAAAAGTAGTTTGCCAAACCTTTCTTCTGAGGCACCTCTGGTGGACTCGAACATCCAACCTTTCAGGTTAGCAGATGAGTGCGTTAACCATTTGCATTCAGGAGAGAACTTCAAGGTAGTAGAAAAAACACTAGCCTATGGAGTTAACTCTGGGTTTGAATGCTGTCACTTACCAGCTATATAGCATTGGTTAGATCAAGTAATATACATGAGAATTTAATACCCTGTATGCCATATTGTTCACATAGTAAATGATATCACCTAATAAAAACTTAAGATGGTAGAATGAGGGGAACTAGAAGTCTGAAATTAATCTGTCTGAGATTTAACACTATTACTTCCACTAGATTGCAGTACACTTTTTGATTATATGATATGTACCTTTTTCATTATCATTTCCCAAGAGACTAACACAGTAATCTAGCACACACAGGGTATTCAATGAAAGTCTGCAGAATGAATAAACAATTACATGAAAAACATTCTGTTTTCTTCTTTTAAATCACCTCCAACCCTGCCTGCCATCTTCCCTACTTGATGATCAAGGACTACCAGATAATAGATATTGAGAATTCTTCCTACATTTCCCCCGACTTTCTGGTATTCTGTCCTGCAAATTTTAGCCATCTTGACTTCCCTAAGCTTCAGTTTCTGTTTTCTGAACTCAGTGAGGTCACTGGGCTTTGTTTCTCCTTCTTGCACTGCAACCTGACAACTACCTCAAGGCAGTAAACGGGGTAATTGTGGAGCTCAACTCCTGTGTTTCCCTTTGTTCAACAGCTTGTTTTCCTAAGTCTAAAAGAAGTTGTTTCATCTATTTTGTTTGGTTTTCTAGTTTTTAAGAGTGGGAGAGCAATTTCTATAGCAGTTAATCCTTCATGGATAGAATCAGAAGTCCACTAAATACCAAGTATTTGAACTATACTGACTCATTAAGTGGAAGTGCTAATAAATGACCATTTGTTACATATTAAAAGTCAATGAAATTCTGCATCATTTGCTCATAACAATCAAGGAACTTGTATTTTGCAATCAGTTTACTACTTAATAATAGGATCATTATAGCTAATAAGCCTGAGAACAGTATAGTCGAGACCAACAGTTTTAAACCCTGGTTACATCTGAATGACCTGTAGAACTTTACAAAAATTTAGATACCCTGCCCTTACACCATTCATTCAAGAATTTAGAGCTTTTTTTTAAAAGCTCTGTAGTTTGACTCTGATCTACACTCCTTATTACAAATTTATTCACTAGTTTTCTAGGCAATATTATGTCCAAATAAATAATTATCAAAAATAATAACCAAAACCCAAACCAAACTTGTTGCCGTCGAATTGATTCCGACTCATAGCAACCCTACAGGACAGAGTAGAATGCCCCCATAGGGTTTCCAAGGAGTGACTGGTGGGTTTGAACTGCTGACCTTCTGGTTAGCAGTCTGAGCTCTTAACCACTGCGCCACCAGGGCCCCAAAGATGTAACAGATATATCTAATTCCATATACCACACACAAAATTTTAAAAAGACTATTATAAAAAAAAAGCAAAGTTTTAGTTACTAATATAAAGCTACTATGAATAACCCAAAAAGAAATACATACAGCGACTATTAGATCACTTTCAGGTACATACTAGTATACTAACATTTGTTATCTACCATTTTATTACTGTGGAAATGGACTGTTCAAAAATTTGCTTCAAATTAAACCAAATTTCAAGAAAGTTAATAAAAGGTAGTTTGAATTTGATGATAGTGTTACATAATTTACTCCTAAAAAGTAAAAATCACAATAATTGTTCCAGTAAATAAAAGTGTCACTTACCTCTTTCACAGTTGCATCATCAAAAAATACCCATTTGGAACTCTTAGTATGAAAAGCAAAGGCACAATAATGTTGGCTGGTGTAGCAGATTATACCAACAAGGTGAAGTTCACTATTTTTGGCATTTTCATCAGTAACCCTATAAAAAAGCTGTTTGAAAAATTTATAGTGTACAGTTTATACTGTGTCATTAAAAAATGAGGAATAATTGATTAATCAGGTATTTGACTCATTATGAAAATATTTCTCATGTATACTGCCCTAATCTTAGTATTGAAGACACCATTGACATTGGCAACTTAACAGAATCACTACATTTAATTAGTTTGTAAGAAACAGTAAGTCCAATAAAATGAATTCACCATATAATTTAGTTCAAATCTCCGGTAACAGAGAACTGACCCTTTACATAAGCAGAAAATACAAGATAAATTATAAACTTCTTGAAAATTCTTGACTGAATCACGTATCTGAATACAACAGTAAACATATTATCTAACCTATACAATTATTTTAATTTTAACATAATCCAGTTCAAGATATATAATGTATTAAGCATTATCAAGAGATCAGTGCTGTAGACAAATTTTAAATCTAAACCTTTTCTAAATTAATACAGTAAAACCTGCAAAAGCCAGAACCTGTGTAAGACAGAAACCTGTTAGAGAAGAAAAACTCAAATATTTTCCACTGAAATGAGTGACAGAAAAGTGGCAAGACTGCACCCTGTCAAAGGCAGAACACTTGCAACCCAGAAAAACAAGGCAGTCCCGGCGAGTTCTCGCTCTCACAGGTTTCACTGTAAGATTTATATTTATAATTATGATTATACACATATATAATCATATATATCATCTTTCTAGGGTAAAAGAGGTAAAGGGCATGAGATAGTTTAGTTTGTAATTGAAACCCATTCTACTTCATCAAGAAAGGCATTCCAATGAATCTGATTGGATTAAATTTAGTTTTATTAGAGTTACCTCTGAATATTACTATTTCCTTTAGAAGGAAAATTTAGTTTTGATAAGCAAAACTAAGTGTACCATAACATATGAGGATGTTTTACAGGAATTTAGAAATAAAAAGGAAGAGAATGAAAACAGCTGAGATACCCCAGGAAGATAAAGATGTGTTGCTAGATTCCGAACAACATCTTCGGTCAAGTCAGAATGCTCAGAATCCCAGACTAAACCAATTGTAACAATCTCTGGGCAATTCATTAAAACACGACGAATTTTTATTTTTTGGCCACAGTTACTCTAAAGGAAAAAAAAAAACACACACACACACAAAGGCAAGTTTTGAAATTATTAAAACAAATGTATCACAGAGCCTTACACAGTTTGCATTATAAAATGACAGATCTTAACATGTATCTGAAATTTATTCCTTCAGTATGCTAGAAATGCACTTTTAACAGTTTGTATTAATTATTGATTAATCAAGTTTATTCTAAATCAAAATACTTTTTTCAGTCTTTATATATATATATACAAAAACAAGAATTCAACTTTTAAAAAGTAAAAATAAAACCCTTGAAGTAATTAAAACACTAGATGAGAAAAGAATGATATACCTATCATATTTATTTAAAGAAAGAAAAAGAAAGTACTTCCTCTTTTTGTCAAATGATAAATTTCAGAACTTAAAAAAAAATCAACATACGCTATACCTCAAATCCTTCACAAAGTTAATATTTAAAAAAACATTGTGCTGAGATAAATAGATCACATAGTATATTTAGAAAAAATACTGAAAAAACGATATCGTAAAATTAATTCCATTAGCATTTACATATTTTCCGAATGTCTTATTTTTTTATTGACAAATGTAGATGCATAATATTCTTCAACTTATACTTACAGGACATTTTCTATAGTCATCAGTGGTATTTGCTGCTTGCAGCAATTCTGCAAACATTTCAGGCTTAAAGCGTTCATGCCTCTCCATCATTTTTTCAACTTCATTGCTACAAAAGAAAGAAATAGTCCCAAATCTGATCTAAGAACTTAAATCAGATCTAATACATTACACATGAAAAATATTAAGTAGTCAACATAGGTTTGGATCACTGTTTCTGTTTTAAATCATGACCGTATCTGAAAAAAAGTAATCTTCCATACAGTGAAAATTATAAAAATTGGCAGATATACGCTGAAAAAAAAAATGTAAGCCAAGAATACAATAAAAAGCAAGAAAATACACTTTTGCTTGTAACTACATGTCAACGGTATGATGCTCTGTCTGAAGGCAGTTCTAAGTCAAATGTTTCTTTTTAAATATTACTTATTAAATATTTTAATATTAAACATTTATAAACCTGAGTCTGTTAAACTCTGGCCTAATAAGAACAACAAAATTGTGGGAAAGGCTCTTTCTCTGGTCCAAAGTTTTCAGAAACAATGTTATCATTTTCAGTTAGGAAAAAGTGATTTGCTGATTAAATGGACAAGCTACAACTAAACTTATTTAACATAGGCTTTGCCTAGGTTAAATTGGGAGCCAAGGTTGCACAGTGGTTAAAGCGCTCAGCTGCCAACCAAAAGGCAATCTGAACCCACCATCTGCTCCGCAAGAAAAAGATGTGGCAGTCTGTAAAGATTACAGCCTTGGAAACCCTATGCGGCAGTTCTACTCTGTCCTATAGAGTCACTATGAGTCAGAACTGACTCAAAAGCAGTGTTTTTTTTTGTGTGTGTGTGTGCCTTTTGTTCCTATTATGAATACTAACCATTTCATTAAGGCCTAGGCAGAGCTACAGAGTAGCTGTGTAATCTCCCCTAGGGTCACATGTTTACCAATCAAAGTACTAAGTACTTGTAAAAAACTAAACATTTTCAAAAAGAAATATAATGTAAGCTGAAACACCTTTACTAGCTTCCACTCTAGCTGCTCCAGTTCTACTCTAGTAATATAACTATTCTAGAGCTGGTTATACTTTACAGTTCAACAGTATAAATAATCTACAAGTATTCAATAACAACTGAAAGTACACACTCTTCTAAAGCACTTCACTAATATACTGTTGTTAGGTGCTGTGGAGTCAGTTTTGTCTCATAGCAACGCACGTACAATAGAATAAAATGCTGCCCTGTTTCTGTGCCATCCTCACAGTCGCTGCTATGCTTGAGCTCACTGTTGCAGACACTGTGTCAACTTAACTTGTTGGGGGTCGTCTTCTTTTTTGCTGACCCTCTACTTTACCAAGCATAATGTCCTTCTCTAGGGACTGGTCCCTCCTGACAACATCTCCAAAGTATGTGAGACAAAGTCTTGCCATCCTTGCCTCTAAGGAGCATTCTGGCTGTACTTCTTCCAAGACAGACTTGTTCGTTCTTCTGGAAGTCCATGGAGTATTTAATATTCTTCGCCAACACCATAATTCAAAGACATTAACTCTTCTTCAGGCTTCCTTATTTATTGTCCTGCTTTCACACGCCTATGAGGTGACTGAAAATACCATGACTTGGGTCAGGCACACCTTAGTCCTCAAAGTGACTTCTTTGCTTTTTAACACTTTAAAGAGATCTTCTTGACCGCTGCTTCCATGGGCGTTGATTGTGGATCCAAGTAAAATGAAATTTTTGACAATTTTATTTGTCAAGGACAAATACTAGAAAGCACTAAATCTGGTAAGTTCATTCAAATTGTGCATAATGGTTTTAAAAAACTGACAGCCATCAGAGTAGTGTTTAAGAAGTCAAATTTTGAAGTCAGACAGACCTGGGTTCCAATCTTAATTTATCCATTTACCAGATCAGCCTCATTAAACCTACTTCTTCATATACAATATAGTGTTTTTTGTTAAAATTAAAAGGGACAATTTACATAAAGCCTGGAACATAGTAAACATTTAATAACTGGGACTCAAGTCTTACTACCAATAAAAAAGAGAGATAATGATTAGAATTCACATTCTGGGATCCTGCAATCTAATTTGCAGTGTGGGCCAAGAAGAGTTCAATGGGGACCTAATTCTTGTCTAAAACACTGCATCATAACACTGAAATTTTATTAAAACATTTCAAAGTAGAGTTGAAATTTTATAGTTTTTAATTTGTAGTCTTTTCCTCTTCAAACACCACTCTACTTTTCACACAAAGAGAAAAAAAACGAGCCTACGAATTGACTTAAGTTTAAGGAATGTTTCTCTAAACCAATGTTTCCCTAATGCTCTTTGTATAAGAAAGATATTAAACACACCCGAATAGTTATTATTCAATAATCTTTAAGAAATGGTGTACTATACCCAAGAAAGTTATGAAGTTTTATAATGAAATAGATACAAGATATTCATGCTGTACACTGATAAAAAATATCTGGAGTATTTATCAACTGTTGCACTGAAGTATTCTAATTGGTAATTACTGATCTATGCTATGTGGTTTGTATTCAAACTTCTACAAACACTTATGATCTTATTCGATGTTCATTACAAATCAAATATTTACACTCTTTATTCCCTGTTGGTGTTCTGCCAATGTTCAAACAGTCCTTATAAAGTAAGGTCTAGGGATCAAATTTGGATCCCTAGCTAGCTAATGTTTCAGGAACAGGCAACGAAAGAAAGGAAGAGAGAAAGAAAGGAAGGGCGGGAAGGCGAGAGGGAGTGAGTTGGGGGAAAGGTGGAAAAAGGAAAGAAGGGAAGGAAAGGAAAAAAGAAGCAGGTAGGCAGACAGGTGTGACACATTTTCAGTCAAGGTGAATTTTGAAGTTGCAAATGCAATACTCTAACTGAGGATTATTTTCACTTTTTTTTCTTTTCTGCTTACCCCAGCTTCCATCACTGTGAAGGGACACAGTGGAGCTGACAGGAAACATAGCCATTACAAAGGAACTCCTTAGTAAAAATGAAGGAACCATTTGCATTTCCATCTACCATTGAGTTTGTCATTTTAAACTCCCCTTCACAGTTCCAAACACTTGCTATAAGTAGATAGTAAGAGCAACATGCTAATTTTTTGTACATTAAGTGGTACATACATTAGGCTAAGGAGCCCTGGTGACGCAGTGGTTAAACGTTCAGGTGCTAACCAAAATGTTACCAGTTAGAATCCACCAGCCGCATCTTGGAAACCCTATGGGGCAGTTCTACTCTGTCCCATTGGGTTGCTATGAGTCGGAACTGACTTGACCACAACAGCTTTATATTAGGCTAAACTAGAAGTATCCATAATGGTATCATATTTATTAGCCTCAGAGAGTGAAAATTCACATATATCATAACTTTATAGGATAAATGCTCAATGTGCTTAAATGTGCTATTAACAGCTTTTGTAAGTATGCTTTAATAGGTTCTTACCATAGGGCTGTTGTAGAAATGTACCGCACAAATTCTGTAAAAGGTAGAGGATCTGATGATGCTCCACAGCTACGACACACACACTATAAGTAAAATCATATGTTTAATTTATCAATCATAGAACATAAATATCTAATAAAATAGTTAAGCTGTCGCACCTGTTCATACAGAGTCATAGCAAACTTCTGGTGAGTGACACAAGACTTAGAAGTACACATGTCGGCATCTCTGCTTGGCACTATGTGAAAATGAATCCTTTCCAATATATTTTCCTAATTAAAAAAAAAAAAAGGCAAATGAATTGATCTTGCAGGGGACACTTCAAAATAACTTTTTAAATGAAGGTTTTCCAGACTGTTACATTTAGGAGTGCCATACGTATTACATGAAAAGCTAGATTTCTCATTAATCTATACTTTAAGTTTCATTCAAATATTCACCTTTTGTAGCATTAGTTTAAAAATATATTTTTGTTCAACAAAAAGAGACTAGAATTATAATGTAGCCCATGATTTTTAATAAAGATTTTAAACATCGCTTTGAAAATCAACCCATGGTGGTTGACATCCAGAATTTAGTATTAGAAAATATAGTTTCCTATTTTCATAGCATTCTCATATTAAGAAATTCAGATAAATTTTTTAAAATCCTACTTGGATCATGTGGATATAATCCATATAACTTAGATCAAAATATCAATGATAATATCTCTACACTACCAACATAATGCAGTGAATCTGCTCTGCAAAAAATTTTATATGAAAGTTCAGATTTATAATACAAATCAATAAGGGGTATTTATTTCTTTAATGAAATAAATCCTTTTTAGTAAATAAAAGCTTAGCTGAAGGATTCTTTTAATTAGTTAACTCCTGTCTCCCCTAGGGATACTTAAAATCATTTAATTATTTAAGCCTGGGTCTCTAGACATTTCATTAACTACCATATCATGTATTAATACATTTCATTTAAGTGAGATACAGTAAAATATAAAGTTCAGTATTATGCAAAATATGTACATTTTGGATTTTAAGCAAGGAACCAGGTATAAACATAAGAAAAAATGAAAAGCCTACCTCATCATTGTGAGTGTACAAATGTGCAAGGTGAAGTGTGTACTAGGAAAGGAGCCTTCCATTTAAGGTAACAGAAAAGAAGCTTATTTAAAAAAGATTAATTAATAAAATATAAGTACCAAATTACTTCCATATATAATACATTCTACAGAAATTCAGAAAATGAATTAGGGAAGATTCGGTCAAGCATTAGGTTGAGCCTAGACAAAATGACAGATTGAGAAAGAAAGTTTTGAGTATTTCAGGATCTTGAACAAAGGCTGTAAAGCAGGAATATACAAGACATGCTTGAGGAACGGAGTGGAATCATCTAACTAGGCAGCATGGTTCAGGGAAGAAGTAAAGAAATCAGGTGGGATTTAATCATAAAGGACCTTAACTGTTAGAAGAGACAGTCTGGATTTGAACCACAGGAGTATTTAAGAAGCAGGCATTAACATGAATAAAATTATATTAATCTGGTGGCCATTAAAAAATAGACTGTAAAGGGAAAGGCTGAAAAGACCGTATTAAAGAAGCTTAAATAATGCTCAGATTGAAGATCTGAACTAGGAAGAAGTGGTAGCAAGAAAATAAGGTGGAAAGGAAATCCTTAAAAGGGTTTGTGATGGAAGAATCTATAGAACTTGCTGAATAGATACAGGAGTAAGAAAAAAGAAGTAACTACAATTTAAACAAGGGTGACATCTACAATATGTTATACAGAAACATTTAATAATCGACATCCATATTCAGGTGGATATGTTCCTGATCAAAAGAATGCTGTACTTATTATTATGTAGTAACACAGAGCCTCAGAACATCAACCTCAGTCAGTGATTCTCAACCTAGACTTAGGTATATATCAGAATTGCTAATCCTGATAGCTGCTCACCAAAATCTTCTTCTATACCAATGAGAATCATTACATGTAATAAGAAACGTTATTGTTGGGAGTTGTCGTGTATGTAAATGCCGTGGGAGAGAATATTGATTTAAAGCATATAATTTATGTTTAACAAAGCTGTCTGCACCAATAAATAAATTTTAAAATATTTTAGTAGCCTAACATTTAGTAAAAACTAGAGTAGCACAATTAATCAAAACCAAAAGTACTACACAAAACATCAACCAAAACCAGTTACCAATGAGTTGACTTTGACTCATGACTCCATGTGTTTCAGAGCAGAACTGTGCTCCATAGGGTTTTCACTGGCTTATTTTTGAGAAGTAGATTGCCAGGCCTTTCTTTTGAGGCACCTCTGGTGGACTCAAACCTCCAACCACCCATAGACTCCACACAAAATACTGATAGACTTAAATAGAGCCTTAAAGAATGAATCCACTGACCAGTTCTGATATTTTTTCACTGTTATAAATCTTATGTTTCATTTGTCTCAAAATTTACATTATTTAAGGAATGCAAACTTGTATCCCCACTTCTTAAGGATTATCTAAACACTTACAAAGCACTCTGCAGCATCATCCATAAAGCCAAGCTGAAATCGTTGCTCATCTTTGAAGCTTTCTGCAAGAGCATGCCTTATGTTATCTGAGGGTAGTGCTTTTTCTCGACTGTGTTGAAACTGTGCAAATATGGTCTGTAAATCACCAATTACATCAGTAAGTTTAAATGTCAATAGCTTTAAAAAAACTTCAATAATTTCATTATAACACAGTGAAATGCAAAACAATGTACTAAGAAACTTATAGAAAAGTCTTTTGCTTTAAAATTACATAAAAAAATTATTTGTATTAGTAAAATGTAGAAATTGTTGCAACACCCTCTAAATTAGTGGAAATCTAACATTAATACACATAAAAATTAACATGCACAACTAGGAGATTCTGATATAGTAAGTCCCCGGCTGATTTCAATGCAGATAACTCAAGTAACACAGTTTTGAGAAAAGCTGTTTTAAATCTAAAAATACTGTGGGGATTAAAATTATGTTAACTGAAATATATACATATACATACATATGTATATACATATATATACACACACATATATATATATTATATATATATATATTTTATATATTTTATATATATATTTTAAATCTAAAATAAATCTAAAGATTCTATGGGGATTACAATTATGTTAACACACACACACACATATAAAATTGCATAAAAATTAGTATGACTTGCTAATCTTAAAAAGAAAAATAAAAGCACCTTAAAGTAGCCTAAATGAACTTTTAAAATTTTTTGTTTTTTCTACTTAGGGTCTTAAGTAAACCTCAAAAAATAACAAACTGATGCGCTGCTGGTGGGAATGCAAAATGATACAACCATTTTGGAAAATGATATGGCACTTCCTCAGAAAGCTAGAAATACACATACCATTCGATCCAGCAATCCCACTCCTAGGAATATACCCTAGAGAAATAAGAGTCGTCACTCGAATAGACATATGTACACCTATGTTCATGG